TGAAGTACAAGCTCACATAGCCGTTGCAGTAGTATGGCAGCTGCTTACCTCCTTCGAAAGGAAGAGGCTTGCCATAGGCCCAAACACCGGGGAGAAGGCAGTAGCAGGCACCCTCGAAGATGAGATAGCTCCAGTACCAGACCCACGCCTTGGTATGAGGGAAAGCACCAGTGTAGATCAAGTTCAAGAGGTGAGCACCAAAGTCTGACCAGCTCTGGCCAGGTGTTCGTGTGGGGATCTTGCCATCATAGTAGGTAGCGCCGATCCACATATACCACATGAGCACAGGGAAGAAGATCATCAGACAGAGGGTTCCGAACGAGCCTCCAAACTCGAACTCGCCAGAGTAGTCAACCTTGGGGTCTTGTCCAGGCTTCCAGCCATCAACCAACGTGACCTTGATCTCGGGCTTAGTGGCGGCGGGGGTAGGCTCAACATTTCGCTTGACACCGTTGGCATTTCCAGCATCAACGGCAGTTGACTTCACCTCAACGTCGTCGTCCATATTTTCAGAGAAACGAGCAGTGCGGCGACGAGTGGGACGGGCGGGCTTTTCTGTGGCCGAGGTAGACTCGACGTCTGAAGCTTCAGTGGGAACCGAGGATTGGCGACGTGAAGAGCGGCGGACTGTAGGGGTCTCTACCATTCCGGCGAAGGGCTCCTTCTTTCTACAAAACGACTCTGTTAGTCTTGGAAAAGGGTGTTTATGGTTGGGGGTGGCTAATGAAATAGGGTTGGAGGCACACAACAGCTGAGGGGAGAAGGGGGTAGGTTATGTGACGAAAATACAAAAACGGCCCCAAGGGGCTGAGGGCCAACGGGCAATGCAAGAGCTGCAGGACTTACTTTGGCGTCTGCCGGAGAGAGTATCTGGTCGACATGATGGCGAATTGGAGTGCGGTGACCGCCTCTTATAGCATTAGGTAGGGAGCGTCGAGAACGAAGGCGTCTAGGTGGACGGACACAGCGAGTCTGTGTTGGCGTGCGACTATCTGCCCAAGCAAGCCAATGTGACCAGGATGCTACACGAGAGATGCGTCAACAAGCTCGTGGAGGTAGAGCCATGAGGGAGGGGGAAGGGTCCGAGGATTTGCAGCAACGAGAGACAGAGCGGGAAGCAATTGAGGCCAGCCTTGGGGACTAAACTCGTCGTCGCGCAGGAGAATTATTGCCCCTAGTGCTTTTACCTCGATGGCGCGCCGCGATTGGTGCCCCGGGACTGTTGTGTTGACTTTGGGTGGGGATTTGCCGGGGGGATGGCCATTCAGGGCCCTTCAGGGGGTGTCCCGTCCTGAGCCAACGCTCATCATCGCTCCACTGCGACGGTGGTATTTTTTAATTGCACATGCCGACTAGCTTTTATTGGGCCGCTTTCTGCTGCAGCTCTCGTCTAGCTGGCCTATAGATAGCATTTGTGAGTGGCCAGTGCTGCCCTTCTGTTGAGCTGCGGGACTCGACCCTCACGACGGACGGAGCGATTGAGGAGAAGCCCCGCGTGTTACACGAGAGTGACAGTGCTGCGCTCGTCGGGGAGGCCACGACAAATGGCAATGGACATTGGTCCTGGGGACAATGGGTCGCATGAAGCTGACATGCGCGTTGATGCTTGGGCTGGAGTGGCTGATCGGAGCTAGACGATTCTTGCATGTTGGTTGGAGATCAGCAAATTCCCACACCACCCTCTCCGTCTTACGCTTGTAATTTGAGCGGGATACTATTTGTTCCATACGAATACGACCACCGCAGCTGCTTCCTGCAGTTTTCGTGTGCCGTGTATGCTGAAGGATGCGAAGCCGCATAGCTGATTTCCAGGCACATGACAACTCCCGCAGTTCTCGAAACTGAGTAGGTAGTATACATGTTATCATGCCTCTCGCTTGCAGGACAGGATTTGGACTGATTTCTGCACATTTAGCCTGGTAGTGCTTCCGAAGTCCATCCTTGCCGCTCCTTAGGATAAGCTTACAGAGCTCTCCAAACGCCAAACTGTCATCCCGCATCCAGTCGTGGTGGTACAGCATTTGACGTGTTTTACACGAACAATTTGCCCCAGGGCATCTTGCTAGATAACGTGTGCGCCATAAAATTAATGGATAACATGCTGTTCCTCATGCACCTCTACTTTTTTCATATTAGTGTAGTGTAGTTGCGTCGGCTATACTCAACACGATATTCAACTTGAGACCGTGATATACCGTTGTATTGTCCAACGAACAAAAGGCACATGCGAAGCTGACATTTCTCTCTGCCCAAGCCCTGATCTTAAATGCCTCGATCTTGACAAGTGCAGGAGTTAGATGCATCCTTACCGATACAAATCTCTTAATATCACCGTAGAAATGATAAGGAGCTTCAGGTGAAAGCCTAACGCTGTTTATGGCATGTCTATGGAAGGACCAGAATGGCTGTCGATAACCGGGAGGTACTCGTTCAGCATCACATAGTCTATAACAACTCTTCAATTCGGGCACGTCGCTCTAATCACACGCCTGGGCCATAAAGTGCGACACAAGGAATACACGAAGGATATCCTAAATTGTACGGCGCCCTTTCTAAATACATCGGCCTTGAACACGTTCCGTTACCATCAACGTGTGATAAAGGAATTACTCATACCTGGAACTGCACATACATATTTGCAAGAAGCCACAAGAGAATGAGGCAAGCGCATTACCGCAAGCAATACTGGACGAAGGGCGAAATTTGTGAAAGAATATTCAGTATCAGCGAAGATACCCTGAAATTCCGCGTCCGTAGATGCGAGTTTGGGTCAAAATGATAGGCTTTACCGACAGATTTGAAGCTGTCTCAGCGACCTTCCTCTTGGGTATCCATACGATGATCATTTGGGAGTAATGGGAATACCCTTGAGAGGTCTTTAGAGCATGTAGAAAGACTATTCTTGCGTCCCACATCTTGGAGACATGGTCCCGGGTAGCGGCTTAAGGTCAACATCGGCAAGAACGAGACCAGCCAAGAGACCGACTCTTTCATGGATGGGCTCTTAGCAGCCGTATCTAAGTTTCCTCTGGGGTAGGTTCTCTTGCCAACTACCCGAGATCTTTCAAGTTTGAGCTCATCAAGTTGCATAAAGGCAACTTATTTTCCGAGCGGGAAATGCCATCAGGCTAGAGGCAGCCTTGCACAAAAGAAAGGATCATGGATAATAGTGAGATAAAGAAACATGATATTTCTAGGAATCAATAGCCATGGTGAAGGGCTTTAGCATGAAAGCATAACCTCTAGGCGAGCGAGCCAAGATAAGCGGCTAACGCATATGAGAACGCGGTGAACAAGAAGAGCAATCAAGGGTTTTGACGAGGATGCCCTGCTGTGGGAAAAGAAGTGGGAAGCCGGGAATATTTACGTTTATGCCTGAAGCTATATTGAAAAATCGTTCCTTTTTTGGTGGCCGTGGCCTGAACAGATCTGATCTTTGCGTGGCCTGATATAGGGACAGTGCAGTCAAATGCCAAATAGGAAGCCAATCACGGCCCGACAGTGCTTTGCCTGGCAGCCAAATTCATAGCCGTCAAAGTTTGAGAAAGGTTTGCTGAGAACCCATGACGTGGATGCAAAAGCCACATTGGCTTCAACTCACGTGGGGTAGTAATACGTGCAGAGACAGGCGAGTGCAACCTACTTGCCAACCTGAATGATACGGCCATGGCATGTGATCCCGAACAAATTATTACATCCTTTGCCAGCTGAGAGATGGGTATTTGTGTTTTTGATGGATGGTTCGTATTGGAATTCTGGCCAGCCTACTAAATGTAAGTGGCTTTGAACTCTGCTCCGAGAAGCACGTCGTGTTTGGTCCATATTGAGAACTAAATTTTTTGTCAGAGGTGGTGGTAAGTATATGCCTGACTTTAGCATAATGTGGACGGCTCTCTAACATGGATCTTCTCGTTGTACATTTTTCTATCCTTGAACTTCTCGGGAGCACCTGATTTGATAATGCTCTTCATTGATAGGTAAAGAGGTAAGGTAATGTATGATTGTGCGGGAGGCGTTGTCCAATCAGAGGGGGAGTGAGAAACACTCGCAGCCTCATGTGACGGTGGGAGGTGCGTGACCTTGGATGTGAGGCCAGCCGTGATGCGCCCAACCACGTACGACCTCCTGCAGCGTGGAGTTGCTGCGAGTATTCATTTGCTCGCTGGCCACCAGATCTAGCCTATAATAGCATGGTCTTGTTCTGACGTAGCGCACCACGACTGGTCCCAAGAGTCCAGTCGCCTTCGGGCTCTCAAGGCTGATGCCTGTGCTGTATCCTCATGGCTTCCGCAAGAACCGCTGGATGAACAGGGAAACCAGATAACAGCCACAGTGGTACGAACAAAATTATTGTGGTGCTATGTGCAACCCGGCGGCAGCCCCGTAACGTAACTGTACTACTAGCGTCAAGGGGAGGGATATTGGGTACCTCTGAGCAGGCGGATGCCCAACTGTAACCAAAGTACCGTTGAAATGAGTGCCGGATAGACCCCAATTTCAAAGTTACAGGCCCCTCTGACAAGCTGAGGTTTGGTTCGTGGCTCCCCACACTTGGTCCCTCCCATTGTATTAGATTGGTCTCAGAAAGCTACAGCACGTAGGCCGGGCTCAATGTTCATCCCTGGCCTTCGTCTTTCCTCACCCGTGGGCGAGCGCATGATCTGTTGTCACGAGTCCGGCTCAACAGGTCCCGTTTCCCGTATAGCGGGTTGAATTTGTGCGTGCGTTTTTGTGTTGCCTGTCTTCTCGAAATCGCTTTTGTTCGTCCTGCCCATCGCACGCAAGCGGTCCACCGACCTCGACGACATCGCGTTCCCGATTCCAAGAGACAGGGGCCGTCACCACCCGCCCAACCCGACAATCGTTTCGCGGCCTCGCTATGCTACGTTGGACTGGCTGTCCTGTATATCGATTGAGATTGGTCATCGCACACACTTTGTAAAAATATACACATTGTTGCATATTTTCTTTAACAAGCCAGCCTCTAAGCTGCCTCCAAGATGGGCGAGCTGGAGAGAGACGATGCTCCTACTCCAATAACCAAAGTCTCGAATGCCCCGTCCACCCTGATTGTCGATACTCAGCCTGATCAAGTAGCGCCCCCAAAACCCGACGGTCTCCTCTCCCCTGCGTCTATTCTGAAGAAAGGAGGTTCGGGTGTTGAGACTCCAACGACGGAGGCCCCGGAGTCACCCAGCAGCAATGGAGTACCGATTTTGAGATCGCCAGGCCCGACGCCTTTGGTAGAGAATGGGACCATTTACGACAATCTACTGCCGCCGCTCCCCCCCTTTGCGAATGACCAGCGATCCGGCGAGAGATCCGGTGCCGACCCCAACGATCCCAACACACAAGATGCAGCCTCAAGGAAGAGTGTACAGTTTGCTCGACTAGATGTTCCTGAGATGCCAATGCACACACGGCATGAATCTCTGGAGGGGATGGATTTCATCAAGGCCAAGTCTGGGTCATCATTCATGTCCAAGATCAAGGCTATGGCCACTGGTTCGCCTCTGCCAACACCAAAATCTGCCGTTCCATCTGTCGACTTCCCTGCGAGTCCATTATCTACGATGAGACCTGCAAGTCAACGTGCGCCCTCGGTAGCTGAAGCTACATCTGACGTGGATGCAGACGCGGAGGAGACGGCAGATGAGAGTAATATACCGGGAGTTGAGCAAGACAAGAAAAAGAAAAAGAAGCAAAAGCGCAGACTAAGGCGGTATCGTCCTGGTGAAAGATCAGCACCGTCCACTCCCAAACGGACTGGTCACGATACGGAGCTCATTGGGAGGACAGAGCGCTTCCTCCGACGTCGAGCCAGCATGCCCGATACCTCGTTACGAGATCATGCCATGTCAGAAGACGAAGCTCGAGTTACTGGGCGGGCATCGACCTGGAGACGAGGTTTTGGTGGGCGCGCTGTCGGTGATGAGCAGCCTGATGCCGAGAACTCAGCAATCGTGGCGCGAAGAAGGGGCCATATACGACGAAGTACCGTATTCGGTGGAGGTACCGGCGGTGGAGGTGTTTCGGATGGAGATGCTATCGTCACTAAGCGCCCCCGTCTGACGCAGGCTTCGACTTACGGAGCACACAAGTGGAAGCAAGTGAAGAATACTTTGAAACTTCTCCGCCAGAAGAAAGAGGACCGTGTTGACTATTACAAGTCGGCCGAACTTATGGCGGAACTGCGGGCTGGAGCTCCCGCTGTGTTGATGTTGGCTAGTATGATTCAGCGTGACGAGCATGGCAACAAGCGTATTCCCGTTCTTCTCGAGCAACTGAAGCTCAACATCAAAGACAGCACTCCTGATCCCGATGATGACAGTGACCGCCATTGGATATTCACCATCGAGCTCGAGTATGGCAGTGGACCAAGCAGAATGAGCTGGACAGTCATTCGTACGATTAAAGACATTTATAATCTGCATTTCCGTTACAAGTTCGCCCTGCGAAACGAGAAGTACATGTCGGCAGGGCTTAGCTTCGGACCCCGCTTGAAACAGCCCAAGTTTCCTTATTCTGCCTTCCCTTACCTTCGAGGAGCTCGCAAAGAGGGAGAGAGCAGTGACTCGGATCAAGGGAGCGCTGCCGGCGACGAAACTAATGGCGAAGGGGCTGGCGGCGAGCGCTTGACGCAAGAAGGTGGAAACGCAACCTTGAGTGAAGCAGAGGGATTTCCAATGACACCAAGACGCAAATCTAGGGGCAATCTACTGGGGATGCGGCGACGGTCAACGGGCATGACCGAGCCTGGCGATGTTTCGAATAACGAAGGACAACCCCTGGACCACGCTACGCGGAGACAGCGATATATCGAGAAGCAGCGGCGTATCCTGGAAAAGTATCTGTCAGAAATGATCCGATGGCTCATGTTCAGAGCTGATAGCAATCGTCTGTGTCGATTCCTCGAGCTGTCTGCCCTGGGTGTTCGTCTTGCAGCAGAGGGCAGCTATCATGGAAAAGAAGGCTACCTCCACATCCAGTCTGCCAAAGGCCTCGATTTCCGCCGTGTTCTGACGCCAGCAAAAGTCATATCGCGCCATAGCCGGAAATGGTTCTTGGTCCGTCAGAGTTATATTGTTTGCGTTGAATCGCCAGAGAACATGAACATTTACGACGTCTACCTGGTAGATTCGAAATTCAACATCGTTTCTAAGAGGAACACCTTGAAGAAGACGATCCGAGACAGCCAGAAAACCAAGGTGATTGACCTCACAGCAGAACCCCAATTGGAGAAGCATCATACCTTGACTCTCCAAACATCAGAGCGGCAGGTGCGCCTCTTCTCGGGCAACCAAGCTGTCATGAGGCAATTTGAAGAATCCATCAACGAGATGCTGCGCCAGACTTTGTGGTTCCAACAGAAGCGATTTGACAGTTTTGCCCCTGTACGAACGGGGGCCTTCGCCCAATGGTTGGTAGATGGTCGTGACTATATGTGGAATGTCTCTCGGGCGATTAATATGGCCAAGGATGTGATCTATATCCATGACTGGTGGCTGAGCCCAGAACTGTACATGCGCCGACCGGCTTGTATCAGCCAGAAATGGCGTCTCGACAGACTGTTGCAGAAGAAGGCACGGGAAGGTGTCAAGGTTTTTGTCATTATATACAGAAACGTTGAGGCTGCCATTCCCATCGATTCAGAGTACACAAAATTCTCCCTCCTCAATCTTCACCCCAACATCTTCGTCCAAAGATCGCCCAATCAGTTCAAGAAGAACCAGTTTTTCTTCGCTCACCACGAGAAGGTCTGTGTCGTGGATCATGATGTGGGATTCGTCGGAGGAATCGACTTGTGCTTTGGTCGATGGGATTGCCCCCAGCATCCGCTTGCTGATGATAAGCCAACTGGCTTCGAGCCGTCCGAATTGCCCAAAGATGCAGAGCATTGCCAATTGTTCCCTGGAAAGGACTACTCAAACCCTAGAATCCAGGACTTCGTCCGTTTGAATCTGCCATATGAAGAAATGTACGAGCGTAGCAAGACTCCTCGCATGCCGTGGCATGATGTTTCTATGCAGGTTGTTGGCCAGCCGGCGCGGGATCTCACTCGTCACTTTGTCCAGCGATGGAACTACTTGCGACGGGGCCGGAAGCCTACTCGCCCTCTCCCTTTCCTTCTCCCACCTCCAGACGCCAAAATGGAAGAACTCGAAGCTCTGGGGCTCACAGGCACATGCGAAGTCCAAATCCTTCGGTCAGCTACCACCTGGTCACTTGGTATCGAGCAAACGGAGCATAGCATCCAGACTGCCTACCTGAAGATGATTGAAGACTCTGAGCATTTTATCTACATAGAAAACCAATTCTTCATCACCAGCACCGAGATGGATGGCACGCGGATAGTGAACCGGATCGGTGACGCCCTCGTGGAGCGTATCGTGAGGGCCCACCAGAATGGAGAAGAATGGCGATGTGTCATCGTCATGCCCTTGCTTCCCGGATTCCAAAATACCGTTGATGAGCAGGAAGGAACCAGTGTCCGTATGATTATGATGAGCCAGTTCCGCAGTATATGTCGAGGTGACTCGTCCATTTTTGGACGTCTCCGGGCCGTTGATATTGAACCTGAGGACTACATCAATTTCTACTCGCTTAGGCAATGGGGTATTATCGGCAACGACACTCTGTCTACGGAACAACTGTATATTCACGCCAAGACTATCATTGTGGACGACCGTGTGGCTCTTATCGGATCTGCAAACATCAATGAGAGATCTATGCTTGGCACGAGAGATTCTGAATGCGCAGCCATTGTTCGAGACACTGACATGATATCATCGACGATGGCTGGTAAACCATACCTTGTTGGTAGATTCGCCCACACTCTGCGTCTACGACTCATGCGTGAGCACCTGGGGTTGGATGTCGACGAGATTCTTGAGCAAGAGCGTCAGCAGGAAATGGATCGCGAGGCATTCGAGAAGGAGATGGACATGATCTATCAGGAAAATGAGAACGAAGCTGGCCCAAGCTCGCTTGAGCCCACCCAGGCATCTGCGCCAGCCCGCTTACCTAGCTTCAACAACGCCCTGGACCTGGAGTCGGCTCAGGCTATTCATGAGTCGAACTCGTCACCATCCTCATCGTCGTCGTCGTCGTCGAGCTCTGGAGTCGTCAACGAGCCAGAATCCGACCCAAGGGTCACAAATAACCCTGAACACCAGCGGGATCTGTCTGGATATGGCCAAGACAACTGGAAGTCGGCAGAGCAGTCAGGCCTGGATGCTGGGCGTGACTCCGTCGTGGTCAATGGTCGAGAGGTCCTGGTTCGCCATATTGGCTCCGAGGGTAAGGGGACGCTGCAGGCGCCAAAGGAGCCTCATGTCGCAAGCCCAGCGCCCGAACATAAATCTCTGGACCATATTGATGCTGGATCGGAATTACTCCCACCCATGCCTCCATTTGACCGACGCACCACAGACCAGTTGGGGCTGCCTCGCGCTGTACAACTGCCATCACTCCCAGTAGTTGACGATACCGACATTGGCGGGCCTCCTGTTCAGGTTGATTCTGCAGGAAACGCAGTTGCTGGTGTGGTTCATCCAATGGCTGCCGATATTAAACTCGCCCACATTGACAAAGACTGTATGCGCGACCCAGTGAATCACACATTTTTTGAAGATATCTGGAACAGGTGTGCCGCCAACAATACGAAACTCTACCGTAGAGTGTTCCGATGTATGCCCGACTCCGAAGTTCTCACTTGGGCCGAATACCAGGAGTATGACGAGTATGGCAAAAGATTCTATGCCAGCATGGATGGACGACCTAAGAGTAAGGATCCAGACTCAAAATCGGATCACTCTCATGCGCCAACATCAGCTGGCCTTGGTATCGGCGCACCTGGACCTGAAGCAATTGTGAAAGCTGTTGAGGAACAAGCTGCTAAGGTGGCACACAAGGTTGCTGAGAAAGCCAACATTGGTTCTCAAGACGACGAGAGACCTCGAATTATCATACCTGGGGTGGAGACGGGTGAGATGAGCGAGAAGCAGGTAACTTCTGATGGCCCAAGTGTTGAGAGGACCTCAACGGGAGCATCGTTGGAGCATAAGACCCCGGCGGAGAAGCTGGCCCGCGAGCATGAGACGTCCTCTCCGGTCTCTTCTCGGGGAGACACACCTTTCCCTCCCGTGGACAGTGCTCATGCGAAGTTCTTGGAGCCCGAGAAGAAGCGAGAGCGCAGAACCACGTTCTCTACACTAGAAAAGCCGAGTTCGAAAGATCTTAACAACGGTTCGCCGGTACCAGTTGGCTCTGTTAAACGCCGTCGTAGAGCGACGACGAAGGGTAGCCGACGAGGCTTCACTATTGATGATATGCCCACTCGCGCTGAGGCGGAAGAACTGATGAAACTGACCCAAGGCCATCTCGTGCAGTTCCCGTACGATTGGCTATTGACTGAGGAGGCGAATGGTAACTGGGGCTACCAGGTGGACGGTGTCGCTCCTCTTTCCATCTAGTAAGTTGACACTGCATCCAGTCGTATTCGTCGAAGCAAAACCACTAACCGTGCCACAGTACCTAACATGGTCCTTGAACCGTGATCCGAAGTACAGATTCTGTATTACATTTCTATTTTATGCTTGCAGTCAAGTGCATTGCGCTGGAGTTTTCGTTATATGCAACCAGAGAGTTTTTGTTTCCAGTCTGCGGTATAGAGGCGTTGTTGCCTTGCCTTCGGGAGCAATCGTTTCTCCCCTTTCCTGTTCGGTCTGCCAATTGCGATTGTCCAACATATACATAGTTTTTTATATATCTAATCAATGCTATTACTCTTTCCAATGGTACATGTTTTTGTACATTCCCCATAGGTTAAACTAGGGTACTCATAATTGCTCATACACGCTCGCTCACCCAAATGGCACCCCGGCATCCTGCCCTTATCACACCAGTGAGGAGCCAGTGCGGCTCCGCATCCTTGGCATCATTCTCGAGGGCGTGGTCCAGGTGCTCGAGCTCCTCGTCCCTGATCCTCCGCAGGGTGCTCAGCAAGTCGGTGATTTCGGGACCGACCTCGTAGCCCTCCGCCTCCCACTGCCCGACCATCTCCAGCAGAGTCCGGATCTGCGCGTTGTAGTGGCCCCCGATCTCCGTCTCGACCGCCTCGGTACACGCCATGGCGGCTTCGCGGCCCATCACCGCCGTCGACCAGCCCAGGCCGGTGGCCATGACGGACCAGAGCGGGTACAGGGCGCTGGGGCGGACGCGGTGCTTGTGGATGAGGCTGTTGAAGGTCTTGAAGTGCTCTGCTTCCTGGTCGTGCATATGGGCCATCAGGGGGCGAAGATGGGGGTGCTTGCGGAGGATCGGGGGGCCCTGGGCTGTGTAGATGAGGACGGCTGCGAGTTCGCCGGATTGGTTGACCCGGAGCTGTGGCAAGAGGGGATGGTAAGTATATTTTCCGAACTATGGGATGGCCCCGGCTCGGATTGATCATACTGCAGAGGAGAGAAAGTCACGCTGCTCCTGGGTGAGCGGCTTGCGCTTCTTGGGGGCAGCTGTGCCGGATGCTGCGTCGGACGACACATGCTGGGCCTTGATGGCGGGGGTGGTGGACAGCGACCTTTGGGCGAGCGAGACGCATTGCGGTGCGGCGCACAGCCTGCGTGCTGGGCGGGCAATGGCTCGTGTTGCGAGCATCTTGGTTTCGAGTTCAATGCGATGTAGGCTGCAGAGATCGCATGCTCCGGTGTCCGGTGGTGGCCGTTCGAGTGCCCGCAGGTAGAAATCATGCGATAGCTCCAGTGACTTAATTGATTCCGGGCGAAAGAACTCCCCTGTAGCTCCGGCAGCCCCACCGATTGGCTCCTCTTCTCCCACCCGCGCTCGGACTAAAGCTTCGCCGCGCAGACGCTCCTTTGTTACAGGGTAGGGCCCCACAAAATTTTCTCCCAGCACTGAGGTAACGCGCGCTGTTGCTGGGCGCCCGCGGCCAATCAGAGGAGGACCTGTGTGAAGGCGAAGAGCACCTTGAACGCCTGAACTCAGATCTTGCTCATCCAGCCCTCACCTCCAGATTCGCCAACTTCATCTCCAGCTTGCATCCGTATCTATCCTCGCCATCGACGAAAACCTGAAGCCTCTTGTGACCACCCGGAATCGACAGCTCGAGCTCAGACTGGTTCATCTCTCGGACCTGGTCAGGCTGGTCGCAAAGGCTTCTTTGTACTGAGCGCGCCCCCTTTTATTCCCGACGTACACACACGATGGCGGATCTCGATGAGGATCTCCTCGATCTCGCTGGAGGTGACTCTGGGGACGAGGGCTCGATAGCCGAGAGCAGAGAGCGCTCTGTCTCACCTCCGCCCAAGAAGAAGTCGAAGAACGCGTCCGCGAAGAAGACTAAACGGCGCACCGGTGATGAGTCGGAGGAGGAAGGCGAGGCGTAAGTGCAGTCATCCCACATGCTTGTTCCTTCGAGATCATCATCATTGCGATAGTGGTAGTGGCCTGGGTCTACTGTCACGGTTGCGGGTTCACCCCTGGCGCTACCATCACCTGCACGCTTTCCCAGGCAATTGGTACTAACCGCTGCTTGAACAGGTCTTCTGAGCCTCGGAGTCCTGGTTCTGACGACTCTGCGCCCATGGATGAGTCTGACTCTGAAGCTGAGCCATCACGCGCTAAAAAGGACGATGACTTCAATGACAAGTATCCCGTTGAGGGCATGTTCGTGAGCCATGCCGAAAAGGCTCAGATCATGGCGCTGGGCGAGTTAGAAAGAGAACAGATCCTCAACGACCGAGCGACTGAACTCAACAATGCGCAGGTGAACCGTCGCCTGCGCCAGATGGCCGAGAACACAGAGCGCCAGGCCGCCCAGAAGCGCTCGGCCGATGCTGCAGAGCTCGACGAGGGCACGCGGACAGGCTCACGACAGCGGACGGACAAGGACGAGACTGCCATCGAGTCTTTCCGACGGGCTCGGGCTGATAAGAAGAAGCGCAGAGAAGACCAGGAGAGACGACGGGACAAGTACTCGCCTCGAGCACATTCACCAGGCGCGGAGAGTGAGGATAGCTATGGGCGGGCGAAAAGCCGCACCCCGGAGCCTGATGAGACCAAGGATCTTCCTCCACCAGAGCTACGTGATTACGACAGGGTCAGACTAGGCCGTAACGAATTTGCCCAAGTCTGCTTCACGCCTGGATTTGAGGCCTCTATCATCGGATGCTATATTCGAATTGCTCTAGGTCCGCACCCTGAGACCGGCATCGACCAATACCGCATGGCTCTCATTAAAGGTATGGCATATGTTTAGGGATTCGTCGAATCGTGCACAAGATGCTAACCCTCGGTTTAGGATTTACCACTAGCCGGCCCTATGCGCTGTCAGGGCCAAATGGTTCTTTTGTGACGGATCAATACGTCAAGGCCGCCCACGGCAAGTCTGCCAAGGAATTCCCCTTTATTGCAGCCTCAAGCGGGAAGTTTACAGAGGTATGCAGCCTGCCCGATTGATGTACTGCGAGATGGAACTGACACAGCAGATAGGGCGAGGTCAGCCGCTATCAAGTTACGTGCCATAACGATGGGGTGACACTGCCCACAAAGGCGTTCCTCTCTGACAAGATTGATGACATCAACAATCTGATCAACCATAAGTGGACAAATGAAGAAATCAAAGCGCGTCTCGCTCGAAAGAATGAGCTGATGAAACGCTTCGATCCATCCGAACGCGAGCGAGTATCTCGCCTTTTGGAGGAAGCCAGAGAGAGGGGTGATGACAACAAGGCCGAGGAGTTGCAGGAGCAACTCGATAAGCTGGGTTCACAACGCCTGGCATTTAGGACAAGCCTCGGGACGAACAAGAATTCTTCGTCTAAGAAGCAGACGGAGCAAGATCGTTTGGCTGAGCGAAATCGCGAAAACCGTCGTCTCAACGCTGAAGCTGTACGCAAGGCTCAGCTCAAGGAGATGGCACGGACCCGTGAGATTGAGCAGGCGATATCGCGCGGTGAGCTGGTCGAGGACGACCCGTCCCGACGTGTCAAGACGAAGGCCAAGTTCGTGCACGACGTCAACGAAAAGGCCGCCAAGAAGGATGCAGCCGACGCTGCTGCTGCAAGCGCAACCGCCAATGGGACACCCAAGGGCAACTCGACAAAGTCGATGCCGTCTCATCTGGCGAAGCTCCAAGAAGAGAGCTTTTCGGAGAAGAAGGGGCTGCCAGGAATTCACAAGCCCTTGATGGACGACGATGTCATTGGATCGCTCGATCTGGACATCGACGTGGAAATCTAAGGGATCCGATCATTGGTTTTGTGATTTCTGGATGGCGGAGCAGTTTTCTTGAAGACATTACAGGCATACTGGCGTTCATTTGACATAATTTAAAAGGGTATGAGCGTTTTCGTCGGAAAAAGAACGGAGTGATACTTGGTGATGTGATCTTCCTTGAGAGATACTGGGGGAATTCACGTTAGTCTGAGAATACACAATACATTGTATAATAAATTCATGACTATGAAGCAAACTGCTGTGTCCTTTTTATCGATTTCAGTGACAATCCAGATAGGCCAGATGCTCTTGTAAAATTAAATTCAGCTAACTGGACAATGGACAGACAAACATCACCTCTTCTGCTCTGCTATTGTCCTACGCAATGGATTATTGTGACATGTAAATAGGTGCTATTCTATTGAAAAAGTATGTTGGAATATGACGGGATAGATTGGAATGGGCGCTCCAAGCTTGAATGATGAAACCCCTGATATCATATCTCTATCCTGATTCCGGGAACAGTGAGTCCCGATACAGATGCGCTATGCTGTTTGTATTGTTTGCTAAAAATCCCACGCACTTCTAAGACTTGTCATGTATTCTCCGTCCGTCCAATGAATTACTCGTTCTTGGGATGAGTCTTGTCTGCGGGAAGCAAGTCCAGCCTGTTGGTGATGTATCTATTGTGGAGGAAGAAACCCGTCGACATGACCCGGAACATCAGCCCCTGGAGGAACGTTGCGAGGCCGGTCCTGATACTCTGGACCAGCCCTGGGCCCTTGGCCGGCGCGACCTTGCCGTCCCGCTCGTCCTCCCACCTCCTGCAGACCTCGAGGAACAGCTTCGGGTCGTCGGTGATTACGCCGTCGATCAGCCTCACGCCCCTGGCGGCGCTAACCCCCGTGGAAGCGCCGGCGGGAGAGTTCTCTCCCAGAAGCGGCTTCGTTTCACTCGGGGACGAGGTGCCAGAGGAGCCGGCGGGGTTGTTCTGCTCAATGCACCACCTCATCCAGCGCTCCTCGTTGACGGTCCATGCGTAGACCGGCCTATCCTCGCTCTGGGCATCGTGCAGGAAGCGGGAGCCTTTGCAGCCGACCAGGGCTCTCTGGAATACGTTGTAGCCTAGGTTCGGGATGCTTAGGAAGTGGCGGGCGTATGGGAGGTACCATGTGATGTGAGCGACGGGATAGGTGGGAAGTAAGCGACGGGAGGCCTGGATATAGCTTGCCTATAACGG